ACAGAACAGCCAGAACAGTCAGTAAAGATCTGAAGCCTCTCCAGGGAGTTCACCAATGGCTAGTTACAGAGCCTACCTACTGTCACAGTGCCATCACAGCCCACTCACCACCACCACGTGGACACCGGTCACTTCTGCCTGGACATCCTGGAGGACAAATGGTCAGCCCATCCTGCTCTCCATGTAGGGCCTGCTGAGAACCCAACACCAACAGCCCTTCGAACACACATGCTGCTAAGTTCTGGAAACACCCACAACCTTTGAGAACCTGCAAGGAAACTATTCAGAGCATGTCTCCCTCCAAGAGCTGTTTTTTCTCCTGATGGTCTCTTCTTTGATTGCTGTGTAGGACGCTGTATGAAGCTGCAGTGTCATTTTCGTTTTCTGGTTTTTTAAATGTCTCCAGTTGAGCCCTTGTAATGAGTAGATTAAAAATTTTGTCTTAAGAAATCAAGGTGGCTGCTAAATTCTAGGACTAAATATTACCACAAATAAAGTTTTATAATCTACAAAGATATTTAATTGTAAGTACCAATCCTAGGATCAATTAATACTGGTTAACTATTATGTAAACCAGCCAAAGTTATATTTGGTCTTTCAGAAAAGGAAAAAAGGAAATAAATAAGGCTCAAATATGTCTTTAAAGTAGATCTCACTTTACAAGAGATTGTTTACTGGAAAGGTTTAGAAATGTTTTTTCTAGAATAGACTGAATCGTTTTTCCCATTTTTATTTTTGGCAATAATGTCAAATAATTTAAACCACTTCACTTCTTGATTTACAGCAAAGTATACAGTGGTTAATAAGCACCTAAATTGTTTTAGTTTAACTACTACTCTTTAAATCCTTCTTTAATGTGAATGTTTTAAATGTATTCCTTTTGTAAGTATAAATTTTCAATTTTTTAAGGCAGAGAACCATAGTTTAATTTTTATATCAAATATTAGGAAAATAAATTACACATCTGAGATAATTATATAAAGTTGAGTTCATTTTACTAGAGATCTTATTTAAAAGTCTTTACAATAAACAAAATGTAAGGTAGCATGGCACCAAGGAACCAATTATTTCACAATTCCCATAACCCCAAGTTATTCAAGAAAGAACCTGCTGATAGTACAGAGATGGGAGAAAGGATTAAAAAAATATTTTAAAAGGAGTATCTTGAGGACATAAGACTTTTCTTTGTTCAAATCCTTAAAAATATAATATCCTTACCCTATAAATTTCAATTTTCTTTTAAATATTGGTGGTGGTGTTCAGGGACAACCACAGAACCAAGGGTATAGAAAACTATGGTTTAAAGGGTCCTGTCAAAAGGATGGCAAAGCATGTACTTGTTATGGATGTGGCAGGTTAATGATTCAAAAGGAGAAAGCCTACTCTATTGAGTATCTGTCTATGCATAAGAGTGTAGAAATTACAGCCAGTGCATTTTCTAGACCTATTACATCTTTTTATATTAGGAAGATTACATATAAGGAAAAGACAATGAGCACTTAGGTTTTATGATTTAAAAGTGATGGAAATAAATTTCTAAAACTTACCTTCATAGTAATATATTTATGACATGCTCTGATACCTAATACCAAACCAGTTTAAAAACGAAGAGTTAAAAGCAATCCCTCTCCCATGCATTTGACAAGTGTTCCCATCTTTAGTTTCTATGGTCTTCACTGAAAACAAAACAAAACAAAAAAAAACACAAACCTGTACCTAAGTCATCTTTTTTACATAGAAATATTAATAATAAATGCTCTTAAGTTCTAACCATAAATTGTTTTTTGAAGCAAGAGTCTGCTATCAAAAAGCATTAAGATAACATCAATCAAGTATTAAGAGTTAATAAAAATACACTTGTATTTGGTGCAAATTTAATTTTATTAGACCTTACAATGAATGTTGTGGCATATCATTTTCCATTGTGTGACAATTTATTGGCTGGCACCTGAATACAGTACTTCTTCTGAAAAATACACAATGGGAATGGACAAAAGGGAGAGAAACTAGTTGTTTAATGACATATAACGGGAAGGGGGGGAGATGATGACCAATTAAATTTAGTTTCCTTAGTATCTAACTCTAAAATGGTTAAAGTTCCAAGCAATAATGCTGTTAGAGTGCACAAGAATGATTATTCTCTCATTCAGCCCCCACAATTCTGAGAAATTAATTTACAAGGATTATTATACCTGTAAAATTCAACCTAGGTTTCTGCTGGGCAATATGATTTTAAAGAACTAATTTTTCAAATATAGCCTAACAATTTTCCCAAGTCACAGTAGATGGGGGTCTCTAAAATATTATACATTAGGTAGTCACTTTACAAGTAAGCAATTACTTAACTTCAAAATCATACTGGGCACCAAATTATCTGTTGCTGATTTGGGTTTATGTGCCTGTCATATTTATGGATAAGAAAATGACGATCTTTTAAATCTATAATCCACTTGTCTTTATAAAGTGGACTAGTATCAAATCTGAGTAGAGTGACCATTTCTTTTACAGAAATGATCACTAGTGGAACATCCAAAATTCAGCAGGCCTTAACAGGGCATTTTTATAGAAATGTAATAAAAACTTACATATTAACTCCAGCCAACATCACCATGCTACAATGTAGTTTAGATGGACTCAAATGACAATTAGCTCATTAAGTATTAAATTATTCATTTGTGGTTTAAAAAAAAAAAACCCACAAAATTTTTATCTTATTCAGTCTCACAACAATTTTGAGAATACTTTCTGACAAAGGCCTAAACAGTGTCTCAGGTCACATTACCAACCTCCTCTAAAAATCATGGACAATTTTTAGCTATTAAACTAACTGATTTTTCAAGCACTCCTAATGGCATTTGGGGAAATGGCAAACAGAGTAGAATTGCATCTTAAGTGAAATAAGGCATTTCAAGTTATCAAGATTGATGAACACTTAGTTCTAAGTTATCTAAATTAGTGGTGGAAAAATGCTAAGTAAAGAAATCCTTAATTTATACTAGGGTTGTACCATTCAAGTTCACCTGTACAACAGTGTGAGATGTGCCTTACTATAAGAGCATGTAGATCCTTCTACCCACTCCCAAAAAAGGAGGAAATATTAAATCACTTAAAAATCCAATTGCTCATCTTTTACCCAAAAATTATTGCGATTAACTAGTGTAGATTTATTCTACTGGCAACAGTTTCTTTAAAAAAAAATTAGCTCAGGCATATATAATTCTTGTATCATAAGGTTAGAGTCAATTATTTCAAAATATTGATGTCTGATATTTCTAGAATACTTGTCTAAATCACAAATTATTCTTAATATATGTGGCAGTTCAAATATTTCATCAAATTTGCCCATGGTAAGATATTAAAATCTCTTCATCAAAAGATTAGTGAGGAACCATTTAAATCCAATTCACCTCTTTTAATGGTGAAATTAAATTTACAACCTAGTAAAATAAGGATATCTTTTTAAAAATTAAACCTCAATTATTTAACCACAAAGTCTAATGCTGTTTTATTTATTTACTATTCTTCATTACAAGTATTTTACTAAGTAAAGATGAAATAAACCTAATGTGACTGTTTGCAATGATGACTCCTTAAATACTAGTACATCAACCCTCAGAATAAAATGACAGAAAAATCCCAGTGATCCAGCTCACTAAACTCACAGGTAAACCGAGTTTTTCTCAAACCAAAAAGGAGTTTTTATTTATAACAATTTCATTAAGTAAGACATTTGCAGGGCAAATATGCCATCATAAATTTTATTCTGAAAAACAATAAAGTGCTGAATAATAATTACCTGAATCTTTTTTAGTATGTTTCATTTATCTTAAGTTAAAAGAGCCCTTTCTGTGGCATTAGTAAAGCTGTTTAAAAAACACTGAGGGGGGGGGAAAAAGTAAAGAAAAACTAACTTTCAGTAAGGGAAAAGCACTGCAACCTTTTGTGTTTAACTACGGTGACAAATAATTGAGACCAAAATAATTCATGCAAGTTATCTTTAAAGGTATATTTAAGCTTGAAGAAAGAAAGAACACTGTTACTGACCTTTGATACAATGGCAGTCAATTGCATACTAAAATATCTTAATTATCCTAGATGTCTAGATTTGGCTTGGCAAGCATCATGCCATTGACATGCTTTAGCTCTTTTCGTAACTAAAAATGATTTGCAGTTCAATTACTGAATATTTCAATGTGACTCATTAAGCTGTGTGATAAATTTTAGTTTAAATTTAAGCTTCTCTATACCTAATCACTTCATCAGCACAAGCAGGACAATGCTGGCACAGCATGAAAGGTGGGTCACTTTAAAAAGATTCCTCCTTTTACTGCATGATATATTAAAATGACAGACCTAAATTTCAACTGGGTTAATGAGTTAGATTTGTTTCCCAAATTTAGCACATAATAACTTCAGTGGATTAGAGAAAGAAATCTCAGATGTGGAAGAAAAAAAAGCTTGAGCTCAGGTAGCTAACCAATAGCTCTAAAAATTGCCATGCTACAAGAGTACTTTCATAAAATGAACTTTGTAACAAACTCAACAGTGTTTTGAGTTGAAGTTGATCAACTGCTGCATAGAAAATATGCTAATATACAACAGTCAAGTTTAAGCCGGTGCGTAGAGAAGATAAAGCACTTATGGTAACTGCATATGGTAACGAGTCCATAAAGTTTGTACATAAAGTTTATGGGTCCATAAGGGGATGGGGAAATGATAAGTAGAAATGGTTAGAAAAAATATAAAGTGAAAATGGGAGAAGCTTGGAAAAAAGCAGAAAAGAAAGACCTTCAATTGTATAAAATTCACAAACCATAAGGGTATAAAGATACCACTGAAGAATGGTTAACTCTGTCCCAAACACCCAACAGCAAACAAAACTAGAATGAATAAGCCTTTGGCAGACAATTTTAGAAATTTGAATTATGACATTACATTTTTCAATAATTCACAAAC